AGTGTCGTCCGCATGTTGAATTTAGTGTCGTTTTTCTGTTGAATTTAGTGTCGTCCGCATTAACTCCTTTTACGAAGTCCCAGACTCTTATAGCTGTCATTATAAAACCTTCAGTACAACAGAAGGCCCCATGAGTTATGTGATCAACTTTCTCACTGATGGAAAAAAAACGTGGAAGATTAAACAACGAGAACAAGTAAATTTTTCTGCTTTCATGTTAAATGTCACATCTAAAGCGTAGCACTATTTTATTTCCTCGACTCTGTAATCGACCTATCACCATAGTGAGGTAACAAGTGATAGAGCTATTCTGAATTTCTGTATTCAGAATAACAGAAATATAAATGTGGGGAGAATCATTTTTAAGAATATATTGACTACGGCAATGAGTGAAACAAGTGGAGGTCTAGGACATCCTGGTCTTATTTATGCACTGTGTCAACTTTCTGGAGTGGAAGCTGGAGATGATGAGGAATGGGTTTCCCCTATGAAACCCATTAATAAAGTTAATTTGAAGACTTATGAATCCCACGAAAAATGAAGAACTGGGAGTAGGAGTCAAGAATCTTCTACTAGTAAAGATGTCCCCTCTACTAGTTATGACTTTCCTTCTTCTAAATATCCTACCCTAACTGACTTGATGAATGAGTTGACCTTGCAACGAAAGAGTATGGAGTTAGTAAATGAAAGGATTTGAGGTTTAGAACGTCGACATGATTATGATAGTGAGTACCTTCAGAGGCATTTAAATTTTAAGATAGCTTATTATGAAGCTCAAGACCGGCACTGTAGAGGTGAGTCTGATGTTACTTTTCCTAAATAATTGATGTACTTATACTTGTACTTTTATTTTTGTGATCTTTTGTAATAAAAATGGATGGTTATGTGTATTTGGACTTTCATTTTTATTATTATGTTGTACTTGGATGATTTTTAATTTTTGTTATAAAGTTAGTGTTATAGTTAAATTTGCATGTGTAGTATAATAAATGTTGAGTAGTATTTTGTAATGTAATGTGATTTTTATTTCGTATTTTAATAGTGATTGTTTTGTGTAGTATTGCGGTTGTGTTAGGAAATATTATTCTTGTTTAATGTTTTAGTTTTATACTTATTTCAAAATTTCATTACCCAATAATTTCTCTAATGATTTATATGTGTAAAAAGCTCCTAATATTATAGACCAGGTGAAGTATAAATTTTGAGAATGACTGAAAAATTTCAGAATGATGAAAATGCCTAAAATACTGAGGTATTATTTATATTTAGAGTTTTTCGTTCCACCTGTATCACTTCATATTTAAAAATTTAAGTTTGGGGGAGGGAAGAAAAAGATTAACTATTAGATGTCCTCTATTTAATTATTTTCAAAAATTATTTATATGATTTTATGTAGTGAATTTAATTCA